GGTTTTGGAAATTTCCTCCAGCCTTCCTGAAGTGTTCCCACTTCACTCGGACATGGAGCATAAGGCTAGCTTTTTCTAAGGCCTTAAGGTTGTTTAGTTCACTAGACTTGAAGTGAACTAAATAAAAATCATTAGAAATCCCGTTGCGCGAATCGCCAGGACGGGATTTCATTTTCATTTTGATTACTTGGAGTGGCACAACTCCAAGTAATTTTGCCAGTTCATCTTTGATCTGATCCAGGGATTCACCACTGGGCAGTCCTTTCATGACAACCTTGAACACACGTTCAGTTTTGGTGTCGTAAGTAAAAAATTTGTGCTTCTTCTCAGTAAGATACTTGAGAAGACATTTAAATCCGTCCAAGGTTTCAGCCAATACACGGCATTCACCCCGACGTCCAATTTGTAGTGAAAACTTAACTTTCACCAAATTCAAAAGTTCCATGCGAAGAGCATGGAAATCGGTAGTGGTTATCACAATAGGGGGAATCTTTTCCTTCTTGGCATTAAGCCGGGAAAGTTTACTAGAATTTTTCTTGGATGATGGATCATTCTCATCATCCGTGAGCAAATCAAATTGATTACTCAAATTAATTTCATCAGAAGGGGGGTCAAGAGTTTGCCCCTTTCATTTGCGTTTAGGCGCCATGGCGGCAGTAATTTTTTATCCAAATCGACTTCCAAGCAGATTACTATAAGAATCTGAAGGATCGAAGAGGAATTTTCCAAATCGATATCCAAGAAGGATTACCTCGGGTAGGGTCCAAACAAGGAATAAGAGTTGAACAAGGTAGAAAATTTTTACAGGTTGAGCACTGAAAAGTGCTGTTTAAATTTGTTGTAGCTTTAGGTAGTAGTAACACTTCCTTCAGCAAAAAGCAAATAGATCCGCACGGCAAGAGAGCACGATGCGGACTGAGCGAACAAACCTGATGTTGCACAACAAGCCGGCGTGTTTTTATTTATTTATTCATTTATTTATTTTTTTTCAGCAAAACAACAAAATCCTCTATCTCTATTCTTTATTGTTTTAAGGTCTTACTATCCCCTAATCGGACGCTAGTGGGACCAAAAAGCCTGCTAGTGAAAGGAAAGTCGTTATGCTATACGGTCTAGCATAGGCCACGACTAAATTTCCGTAGGTTCATGCCTGGCTTAAGTGCAGATCGGTAGGCAGCAGCCTGCCAGCACAAACGAAGTGACAGACGACTTACTGGCGAAGAAATCAATTAAAATAATGTGGTTCGCTGTAATAGAATTTTCTTAGAAGCTTGTGCCATCATCCACCAGATGGGATAGTATTTTTGTTTTGGTTTTGCACGAAGTTGATTTTGTGTACAATGATTCTTTGACAGTGTGCAAAGAGTGTATATCATTTTGTCATTTTTTTATGCATTTCAGTTTTGAGTAGAGTGAAAGAGATAGAACCAAAATATTCTAGTACATTTGGTGAAAATGCTAGTTCAATCCAATAGTAGTGTTGCCATGTGGTACAATCCAGTAGTAGTGGTGTTGCCATGTGGTACACTGAAAAATTGCAATAGAAGGTTAGTCACCAAAGTTTTCGAGCCGCTCCGTCTGTCACTTCGTTTGTGATTAAAAAGGCGTATAACAATAACAAAATAGTGTATTTTTCTCTAAAACTTTGTCTCCGACGTCATTTCGACTGTGATGTTTTCGTTTATTGAAAAATGTAGAACACGACGTTTTGAATTTTTTTTTTGCACAAATCTGAATGATTGCCGGAATAAAACAAGTATGCAAAATTTCATGCAAATCGGAAAAGGTCGCGTCAAACATTAAATTATGTTTTGCTATTTGACCTGGAACTGCTCAATAGCAACTTCAAAGTTCTCCCGCAAATCCAGATCATAACCCAACTTGTTCAATTTTGGCACAGTTTTTGGTGACCTCAGTACAGATACACACTTATAGCGAATTTGTTTATTATCCAGGTTGGAACCAGTTCCAACCCGTGCGAACCCGAGCTTATTGTCAGTGCGAACCTCAACCCGAGCCAGGTTACAAAAACAAACGTTAACACTGACGTTTGAAAGGCAACAAGCAGACACAATCTTGATACCCGATCCAGGTTGGAACTGAATCAAAAACAAATTCGCTATTAGAAATAACACATTTTACACGTGACGGAATCCATCTCTGACATAAAGGATGAGACGTAAACAAACATGTCTTGTAAAATTAAGTGGCCCGAGACTGAAAAGTTCGATACTCAACGAAAAGTACGTTTGATTGAACTGAATTTTGCGTCTATTGGACTCAATTTTATGTAAAAATTGACGCTCGTATATGTCAGTCTCAGAGCACCTAAATTTACATGAATTTTTCCAAGTGTGTAGAAAGAGCAGTGGTGAGCAGGGGGTTGTAAAGTTTATCCACCCTAATACTTAGTAATCAATGATATTTGTATTTGAACGTACATTTACATATTTCATACGATTTTTTTTCTTGATTTTATTAACGTTACTAAATCCTACAGCTTAAAAAGAGAGAGCAAAGCACTGTGATAGCCAACATTGGTTAAGTAGTGTTTCATGCCGAAATGATTCATCACATTTTACTTTCTATAACTTTTTTTCCAGTCGGTAAATCCCTGTTACGTGCTGCGACACCCGGACTAGCGATGACGAATTGCCACCACCGTGTTAGGTATTCTATTCCAAATTCCAAAAGTAAACATATTGACGTAGACGTAGGTGGATGCAGGACATAAAACACAGCAGTTCTGCATCACCGTGCAATGCAGCGCCAATACATTACGGCTACAAAGTTAGGAAATACGACAATGAACTTGCCAGCAGCAACGAATGACACCGCCAGACGCCTCCCCCAGTTAGACCTTTGCTACATCTGTCGTTCGCACTCGTCGTTTGTTTGTACTTGATATTACGCAGATGCTCCGGGGTGGTGTGCGGGCGAGACTCTCTCTCTCTCTCAGTGCTCGCCATAGGCAGGTGCACGTGTACTTGGAGGGCGCACTTGTGGAGTGTGATGTGAGGTCGACTTTCATCGGTTTCGTTACGTAGCTTACTTCTATGCCTGCCCTATGTATTAAGCGTGACGGTGGAGCATGGGGTTCGTTCGACTTGGCCAGGTGGCAATGGTTTACGCTCTTTCGTTGTACAAGTAGTGTTGATTTCCTTGTGATGTTTAACTTAAGGAAGGGGGGGGGGGGGGGCACGTATGAATTACGTGAATGTGTAGTCGTGATGGTTTTCAGCAGAGCGAAACAGTTCTAAACGTCCAATTTTGGTTTGCTGGCAGACTGATTTATCAGTGTAAACATCTTGTGACGTTATCTGTCGTCGAACCACTTCGGTTGACTTGCACTGAAACAGTGCTAATAAGTTTGCACTCGGCAAGTGTATTAGGTACTCATGTACCAATTGGTACATGTAAATAAGTGGATATACCTACAGTGTGTCGCAAAATTGAGAGTACACCTGAATGGACAACTTTTTGAAACACTTTGAATAGTTAGATTTTTGAAATCTTGGTTGGTGGTTGAACAATTATCTATTAATTTATGGGTATGGTTTTAGACTTTATAGTTGTTTGAGTAATTTTAGTAAAACGATCGATTTTCAACTTTTTTCGTAGATGACGAATCTTAGTAAAATTAGTTGCTTATGAATGATCTTTATTATGACTACTATTATATTATATAGGAGAAATGGATGTAATGTCGGTCAATGTGCCACTAATTTGGGCCCATACAAAAATTCAGCAATCGACCAGATTTTCGATAGACGCGTTCATCTAGATAAAATTGGTAAAGCGATTGGCCCAATCTTAGATCCATAGGCCAACATTAGAGCCATTTTCCCTATGTTACAGTAACACATGAGCAAAATTTTTATAAAGTCTGGTTCGTTGTTTGTATTTCTTTTTTGAGAAAATAACTCTACACACTCAAACAAATAAACCCGATACTATTATAATAGCGATAGCCGATAAATGTTTGATAGCAGTCAAAAATTCAGAAATCTTTCTTTTTAAATTGTACTCGTTTTCTAAAATTTAAGGACAGCTGTACGCTCAATTTTGATATTCACTGTATATACATGTTCGAAGTGGGCTCACGTTGGAAAGAAGCTGACATTTTGAACCGATTCTGACAACCGCTGGGGGGTACATGTGCCGCAGTCAGTCGGGCAGATGCCTGCATGCATGCAATCGGTACGTGACGCCAATTTATGGTAATGTATTCCGGAAGCAGGCAGTGTGTTTCGGATATTGTCAACACACGGTTCAGTTTAAGCTCGTATGAAAGCACGGATCAGGGTGCATTTGGTTACGAACAGTAAAATGCCGATGCAAAGTTTATTGACTTCTCATTTTTGGATCATTGCTTGGAGAACGTGATGAGGTACTCGAAGAAATATTAGTTTGTCCGGCAGTGCTTTCTGCGTACTGATTCACCGAACTCAGTGGCGTACATAAGATTGCAAAAATAACGGGAACATTGTGTCTCTGAGGAGAGTGTGCTTATCGCTACGCGTAAATTGCGTCACCTCTTCGATTCTATGGTTTGTATAGATGATGCATGCAGGGGAGACGGGGTAAAATCTTTCACAAACTGTCTACGCGATTGGTGGACCGCCCTTGAGTGATTTCGTTTCATGAATGAATGAACCTTATTTAATACAACGTTATTGGAGAAACTTTAGCGATTTCAGACACGAGCGGATTAGTCTCTTATTATTTTGACCTTGCTACAAGCCAGTCAGCACCAGTAACACAACACCCTTCACACACAACACGACGAAGAGTTCGGTTAATGAAAAAGCATGTAAACTTTACCAACGACGTGGGCTTATCATCCCCGAACTACGTGTGTGCGTGCACAGTTGAGGTACTTTCTACGTTTTGTGTGTTTCGCCGGTGCCAATCACAGATTGTTAATTTCTTCGACACGCCGACCATTCGTATTTGTTGTTTTAATCACAAAGGATTGTCATTTTCCCGTCTCGTTACAGACTACTAATGTAATATTATGGTATCACGATTCGAACGCCTAATGGGGTGCTCCTCTATCCCGATAGGAGAGACCCTGCCTGAGAATAACCCACAATGCTCAGGCCGGGGTGATTGTCTTAACGGAACCTGTCTCTGCGAAATCCGGTACAGCGGAGATGAATGCTCGGGCTTCAATTTGCCCTACCATGCGGGTAAGTGTTCAATATTATACATGGAAAGCCTCAGGGTCGTCCTCATGTTCCATTTCTTCCCCCAGGTATTTCTTCGGTTTTCTACTTTGTCGCTTTCATCTCACTGGTACAGCTGATGATCTGTATCATTGCCGAATATCAGAGGCTCAAACAGCCGAGCTTCTTGCGAGCCTGCCGGCTAACAACGCAGAAGCTGCTCTATTTCTTCGTGTTTATCGCATCCGTACTGCGGGGGGCGTACTTTACAACGCCGGTAAGTTTGTTGTTCTTTCAGGTGCACTAAAATATGCTAAACAACCTTTGTTTTCCTTGTAGGAAACCCTGCAACCAGCATGGGTCTCGTATCTCATGTCCGCATACTATCCGCTAGTGATGACGTGCGCTTCGCTGGTCGTCTGCCTGTGGGCCGAGGTGAGTACTTTTCTGGAATTCGGTATGGGATTATTTTGCTCGAATGTAGGTATATAAAGAACTGCAAATATTTGCTCGTTGTTGTCATGTATTATCTTTTCTGCTGGCAATTGGGAGTTCCAGAACAGTCTGATAGGACTCGAATTTTATCTCGTCACGAGTTACAACAGTCATAGGCATATTTTTGTATTACTGTTGGTTATACGTTATTTAACTCAACATTATGGATTTATGAAGGCGTATGTTAAAATAGTTAAAAAATGTTTTTATCATAAATTTCTCGAATTCAAACCCTATCCACGGAAAGCTACAATTTCATCGGGGTGCGAGTGAGACAAAATTACACTCATTTTTCACTCGGGAAACTTTTCTGTACTTTTCGTAAGCGAGATTTCCTTCTCACGAGAACCGATTGAGCGGGTCATGAGAATGATGATGATCCATCACTGCTTAGGAGGTTTAAGATGCTTTTGTTCTCCCAAAGTCCCATTAAAACTTAATGATAAAATGTCGATTTGCCTCGCGAAGTTTGAGTCAAGTTGGTGTTACTGAGTTACACCAACTTCGGTCAGCACTGTCAAACTTCCTGCAATCAGATTTAAGCAAACGTCTCTTCGATTTTGAGCAAAAGATATGGTTGCCAGTTATTTTTTTTTTCAAAAGAACGTGGAACTTAGTGAGAAAAAATCCCCAAAAAGATCTGGTAAACGGTGTACTGAGGTATAGTCTTCAACTCGATCGAAAAATATCGTCATTTAACGGAACTTTTGAATGTGGTTGGTAGTTATCTTAATTAAAAATCAGGATAAATAAGATTGTTTATTAAAAAAAAAAAACCTGGATAAATTAGGGTTTGATCTCATCAGGGAAATGAAAAAAAAATATATCAGGAGAAGTCCTGAAAGATCAGAATAGGAGGCACCCCTGCCTATGAGCTACACAGAGAAAAAAATACCCTAAATTTAAGTTCTTTTTACTTAGTTTTGGGTAATTTTGAGTTTTGCATCCCTATTCTCACTTTTTGTTGTTGTCAAAAACGGAACGAGAGATTCGATTTTCTCATGACATGTGAGTAAATTGAACTCAATTTTGGGTAGAAAATATTCACGTATTTTGCCGTAGTCAAATGTAAACTACTGTAAGCGGTTTACTGAAAATTAGCTTATTGAACGGAATATGGGAGATGAGTGAAAAGAACTTAATTTTGGGGAAATTTTCGGTTCCATGTAAGTTAAAACGCGAACAGTTCACGATTGGTCGATTTGAATGTGAATGTTACGTATACCGTACACACGACGAGCAAATCATACACGGCCACTGACAATAAGTCAGAGAGAAAGTCACTTCTACTCAGAGGTATGGAAACATTTCTACTGCATGACACAGCGCTGAGTACCTGCAGTTTTTAGAAATTTTTCATACCTCTGAGTAGAAGCTACTCTCTCTCTCTCTCTGAGTTATTTTCAGGGGCCTTGTATAAATTTCGGTGCTCTGGGACCGACACGTGCCAGCGGCCTAGATGACACAAAGCTCCGTCACAAAAGACGAGATGCTATAATGAATGGGAGAAAGTGCCCACCCAATATTTACGGAATGTTTCATGTCTAATGCACACCAGTGAGTGTCTAAGATAAGAGAGAAGTGGACTGGACAATTTAGAGCCAAAGGAACTCAAAAAAACAGAACCAATCGAGCAGCGCCTATCTTGTCTTCACTGGCAGTGTTGGTAGAAACTACATGGGCATTTGCTTTTTGGCCCTCTTATATCCTAGACCCTCACTAAGGCACACTTTACTTGACAGTGCTGGAAATCTTTATGCGAATTGTTCCAACTTTTCTTGGTGATGTTTTGATCTTTTTTTTTGCTAATCAAATGTATGTTATGATTGTGTAAACATTTTCAAGCCCTTTTTCAGAGTCATTTTTCCTGACTTAATGCCCATCTTGCACTAATACGATAAAAATATCGAAGTCAACATATCAAGAAAACTGGCAACTTTCCCGCCTTCTCATACACCGAAAATAGTTTTTATGTAGCTTCCATTGGAAACGCACATGATTTTCATCCATAATGATTTTTCATATGAATTTCATGGACCTCATAATATTCATGTGATTTTGTGGTGGGATATGCTATGTAAAAATCACATGGATTTCATCCATTAGATATGTGATAAATTTTTTTATTGTACTACCGCTACACTGCGCTGTGCAGCATAATTGTCCCATTAGCAATTTTGACGAAAATGAGTTATACATTGGAATCGATTGTCTAGTACCATCACTTTACAATGTACACGAAAAATTTCATACTTTGTTCAGAAAATGCCACGAAGAATAACAAAACTATGTTGCCCCATCCATAAGAGCCCATGGGGAAAATAATCTTCAACAGCGTTTTTCTCAGCTTGCTGTTTTAACTAAAGGGACAATTATGCTGAAAAGGGCAGTACAAGATAGGCACAATCGGTACACGAGACTACCTCTCATTCCAATGGGCCTAAGTTCATCCCAGTCGACGCCCTCGCCATTTTCTTAGGCATGAAATCTCTGATCACGCATTCCTTCGGAAGGGAGGTAAAGCCGTTGGTCCCCGATCCATGAGTTGATGGGTCTATAGGTATAGTCTAGGTGTGAGAGCTGCCTCCCTGGCGCGGGTAACATTGGTACTTCGCTTCGCTCAAAATAACGACGATAAGGTGGACTCGTTCAAGATGAAATTCAATATGAGAGGTATTCTCAAATCGAAAATCGTCATTAGCAGCAATATTGTTCTTGGTCCGTCTTGCTAAAAGTTCTAGTTACACACATTTATCAACTTGCGCAACTCGCCCCCCCGATCAGAATGTTGCGTATGCGTAAATAAAGCGTTCACCTCTATCGCATCTCTCATTTCCTTACCCTTTTTGGTTTTCGGTCTTTCTGGCTTGTAGAATTGTGGACAATATTTAAGTGCACAATGCTTCTGAAGACACTTTTTTGATTAGGTCAATGTCGTTAATTAGCAAGCAATCATATTGTGTTGATCAGGGTCACTCAAATCCCTTTTTTCAATTAACGGTTTTCCCGTTTATTTAAAAAAAAACTCTACCTTAAGGCGTTCAAAAATAAACCTCTAATGATGTAATTTTGTCAGCTCTACAATACGTCTACTGTACTTTTCAGCATAGTTTTCCCATTCGTTAAAACAGCAAGCTAAGAAAAACGCGGTTGAATATTTTTTCTCTCCATGGAATCTTATGGATGACCCAGACCCAGAGGTGGCTGTCAAATACGAACAATCGTCGCCTACCTCGTAAACAACCAAACGTAAACAAGTCATAAGAAACCTACAGGGTTTGTTTACGTTTGGAACCAATTTCACACAAGATTGATCAGTAGGTTGTTTTGACAGCATGCCCCCCCCCAGAAAATTATTGACTGTTTAGGCTGAGTGTGAAAGCACTGCTCTATTCAATTCTCGATTACTTTCTTTCACGTTTCAGCTTCTGTAAACAATGCATTTGATCGTCGAGTTGGCGTAACTTGTAGCTCGCCCACGCATGCTAACACTACCATCAGATAGGGGAAATTTTCCCCAACCTGCTAGTGGTGTTAGTAAGCGTGTGCGAGCTACCAGTTAGGGGCGGTTCATAAACTACGTAGACAGTTTAGGGGGGGGGGGTTGAGAATTATCCACGGCCCATACAAATTTTAAATTTTTTGTATGGACAATTGTCTACGCAGGGGAGGGGGGGGGGATCAAGAATCCCAAAAAAACTGTCTACGTAGTTTATGAACAGACCCTTACGTCAAATCGACGATCAGATGCATTGTTTACAAAAGTTGATTCGACCCTTTGAAAAAGTAATCGAGAATTCTTGGTCTATCCAGACTGTATTATAGTCGCTATCTTCATAGTCTGGCATATAGAATTTTGATCTATCTTAAAGCGGAACCAATTCAATATATTTTAGACTAACAATTGAAAAGGTACTATGAACTTTTATAAACAAAACGATGAATATTCTTTCCTCGCCAATCGAAAGCAAATTACCGGCATCATTGGATAGGGGAAACTTTTGTCAACCCCAAGATGGTGTTAGTTTGCGTAGGCGAGCCTTGAGTCACCAGAAAAGGGTTTCCGAAGTTTTGTTCGCAATAGCTAATGTGCTCTTTTCTGTTGTTGGTCGTGATTTGCTGGATTGGTTCCGCTATTTGACACTAGTTTGGAGTGAATTGTTTACATGTGCAACATTTCATAACAATCGGTTCAGTGGTTATTGAGATGTCATCGAAACAAGAAGAAAATCGCCGGAGAATTTTGCGCGCCGTCATGGAAAATCCGACTGCGACCATGAGATGGATCGGAAGACAACTGGGAATCACCCATACAACTGTGTCTCGGATAGTAAAATCGTTTAAGGAGTCCCAGACGACCGAGCGGCGGGCTGGAAGTGGAAGAAAATCGAAGACAGCTGACCCTGTGAAGGCCCGGAAGGTGTTGGATTATTTCAAGCGTAATCCGAACCTTTCGATTCGCGACGTGGCTCTGAAGGCAAAGTGTTCCGCCTGGTTCGTTCAGCAAACCATGAAACGAGCTGGGCTTCGTGTATTCAAGGTCCGGAAGGCACCGAACCGGCGTGATCAACAAAACACGGCGGCCAAATCCCGCGCAAGGAAGCTGTATCGAGAGTGGTTAACGAAACCGATGTGTGTGGTTATGGATGACGAAACCTACATCAAGGCAGACGCAAAGCAGATACCGGGGCTGGAATTCTACGTTGCCAAATCACGGTTTGATGTTCCGGAAGACATAAGAAAGAAGGACAAATTCGCCAAAAAATACTTGCTCTGACAGGCCATATACCAATGCGGTAAACTGAGTAAACCGTATCACAATGGGTACCATCAATAGCGAAATTTACCGCACCGAGTGCCTCCAGAAGCGTCTGTTGCCCTTCCTGCGGTCCCACGGAGGCGAGACATTATTTTGGCCGGACCTGGCATCATGCCATTAC